CGGCAAACGCGAGCTGATACAACGAAACAAAAAAAAACCGCTCATTATTCAAACCTGGCCGTGGTTTGCTTTAGTCGGATCTTGCTTCGTCCTCGAAATAAAAAAATATACGAAATGCCGTTTACGACCCACGATAAATCTGAGCATGCATTAAAATGTTGCTTGGTTTTTGTGTATTCACCTGGAGGCGATTAACACAGCTGTTGTTACTGTGATGCAGAAACCCACTTGATTGTTTTTATTCCGTGATATATATATACGTACGGCCAACTCAAAGAATGGGTGGAGGTGGTGGTGCAGTCGTTAATATTGCCCTGTGCTGTAAAACCGCGCGAACCGAGTTTGATTCCCGGCCACGGCTAACATCAGTGTATGTATGTTGAACTTCTTTTGCACCGTATGTAGCCAATCGTGCTAATCGGAGGTGTGGGCAAAGGACAATAAACGAAACACAAAAAGCAGTTACAATTTAGATCATTTGAAAGTGCATAGCTCTAGTCGCTTGCTAATATCGGAAGGAAGAGCGTTCCAGACGGGCGCGGTAGCGCATCTGAAAGCGTGCAGTGCGGTGACCGTCTTTGTCCAATGGCCCAGCCAACAGCTGCTGCTCGTGCAAGGATAACCGGAGTCCACGTGATGATGGTTGTATGCTGCTTGACGAGGTCAGCAAGGTATTGTGGTTCACCTGTGGAGAGTGACATCTGAACTCGTTCCGGGCTCTCAATCAATCAACGCACCTCTGCACTCAAGTTGTGTAACAATCATTGCTTTTTTGTTGTTCTATCAGGTTAACGTTGACCCCCCACCAGCCAATAGGTTGCCGCTACAATAACTGCAACATTTCAAAAGAAGAACCGATCCTTGAATTGAATTTCAATGAATCGCGAGGGTCTGGCGGCCATTCCGTTACATATCCCAGGAAATAAGCGCGCATATGTGCCACCAGCAAATGTTCGGCAGACACTGAGTGGGAAGCACGGCAGGGGCAGGCTCGCGTGTGTTGCTCGAGCAGTGATGAAGCGTTGCGGGCGTCGGATAGAAGCGCCATGACTCACGCTCGGCACATCGGGAAGACGGAGAGGACGAGAGGGTGGGGAGAGAAACTTACATTCATCTTCCACCGTCTCGCGCTCTTCCATCCCCACCCAGCCCCACCCTAACCCACTCTCCCATTCCCCCCAACCGACTCTCCCATCCCCACTGCTCTCAGCTGCTCGTTCCCCGATGGAAGAAGAGTTAATGGCGCGGCTGAGAGTGCCGGGTCGGGTTTTGTGTGGTGGGGAGAATCAGGGACCGGGGGTGGGGGGGCGGGCTCGGGGAGCGGCGAGTTTGTGTTTAATGACGTGGAAATAAATCTCTCGATCTTGAAAGCGAAATTAGTTCTGCTGCTCGCGTCCTGAGTTTTGAAAAATTGTTTCGAGAGACGTTGGGGCGGGCGGGGGGGGGGGGGGCAGGGTGGATGTGTCGGGATGGGGGGGGGACAACAAAAACAAGAAAAATAAGTGGAACGTCGCGAGAGCGTCACCGGTCGGCGCAAGGTTAGACCGAGTGCCGCAATGGTGAAGCGTGATGGCTGAGCGGTGTTCTACCGTCGGTGGCCCGTGCGGTAAGGGCACCCCCCCCTCAACTGCTGCCAAAAGGAATCCCCCCCCCAACCCTTGCCTCCCTAAAGCCCCCCCCCAACGCCTGCCTCCCTGAAGCGAGAGCTCGAGAGAATTCCTCCCGAGCGAAACCTCTTGGCCTCCTCTTCCACCGTCCTACGACAAAGTACGCTTTGCTGCATGTTCGTCTTCTGCGTTATCGACGCGGCGTGTAACAGCTGTGGTGGTGGTGTGGGGAGGCAGGGAGGGAAGGAGGGAGGGGAGGGAGATGGGGAGGGAGGGAGATGGGGAGGGAGGGAGGCTCTTGAAGGTGATGGTATAGGGGGTGGGGAATGAGAGATTGATGGACAGCATTTTAGGACAGATGGGTTGGGTGCACGGATTGTGCCGAGGTTTATAAATTGAATTCGGTTTCAATTTGGTGGCGCGCGAGATCCTCACACAAACACCTAAGCGATCCGTTTTGCAGCGTTTGTGAATTCCCCCACGCCCGATAATTTACAGAAGGGCAGTTTCTCTTTCCTCATCACAATAACTGGGATCTTGCAAATGGGGCTGCACTTAAATGCAGCCTGCAGCAGTACTGTGTTGAAGGAATACTTAATGCAGAGAACGGCTGTCACCTTAGAGACACTTACCAGGCAAGATGGTAAGGACATGTAAGTATAGCAATGGATTCTTGAATGTCTCTGCATTGAGCTTTGAGAATAACCCCTTCACATCCATGGTGAATTTTCTCCAGGTTCCCAAATTTCGTCCCACACGACGCTAAACGCTCATTAACCCTTCCCCGTTCCGATCACGCGTGTGTACGTCGTAAGTTTTTCTTCAGCAAACGAAAAATACTTAAAAGACAATAACTTTATGGGTACCGAGGCTCCCACGAGGCCATGCGGGAAGGCGTGTGGCACAGTTGGGCGCCAGCTTCGTAGAGTGCGGTCGCGTTGCCACAGTTCCCTGCTGTGAGTACAAGGTCTTTAAAATAGCGGCGCTACGTCTCTCCAAAAAAAATTAACGCTGAACCGCTTACGTGTTCCGCGATTCAGCGGCGAAAAGGACCCTGCAGATGCCTAGGAACGGAAAAGGGTTCGTAAATTTGGCTAAACATTCCAATGCAGGAACCTCCTGAAAGATGTGTCAAGCCTCAGTGAGGCTCTCCTGGATAAATAAAGACGAGGAAACTTAGGGCATTATTTAATTACCAAATCACCAGGATTGTGCCCAATATCGACAGATCTTGGAAGCCAAGTCGAGTTGAAGCCTGGATCGCGTGTTGTTGGGCGACCACCATGCATAGATCAGGAGTCACAGGCTGTTGCGGAGATACATTGTCTGCGGCGGGCAGTTCAGGTAATGTTCAAAATTGTACTTCACTGTGCTCCAACATGGACACTCGCCGTCTGCACTCAAAATGACCAGCGTAGTGAAGCACTGTATTGTCAAATAACCCCCAAAACCCACGTGGCGTGTGGAGGCCCCTCACCCAGCGGTGAGATTGACAAAGGGCAGTAAATGCCCATGTATCGATGCGTTGCTAGTTAATGTGATGGATGAGAAATTTACGAATAACTAAATGAATGAGAAATCAATGAAAGATTTGGCCGTGAGGCAGCCTGGGCCCTAAGAAGCTTAACAGTGAAGAGGGCTGTCCCGTCAGTAGTGTAACAATGAAGAGGGCTGTCCCCTCAACAGCTTAACAATGAAGAGGGCTGTCCCCTCAGTAGCGTAACAATGAAGAGGGCTGTCCCCTCAGTAGTGTAACAATGAAGAGGGCTGTCCCCTCAACAGCTTAACAATGAAGAGGGCTGTCCCCTCAGTAGTGTAACAATGAAGAGGGCTGTCCCCTCAACAGCTTACCAATGAAGAGGGCTGTCCCCTCAGTAGCGTAACAATGAAGAGGGCTGTCCCCTCAACAGCTTAACAATGAAGAGGGCTGTCCCCTCAGTAGCGTAACAATGAAGATGGCTGTCCCCTCAGCAGCTTAACAATGAAGAGGGCTGTCCCCTCAGTAGCTTAACAATGAAGAGGGCTGTCCCCTCAACAGCTTAACAATGAAGAGAGCTGTCCCCTCAGCAGCTCAACAATGAAGAGGGCTGTCCCCTCAGTAGCATAACAATGAAGAGGGCTGTCCCCTCAGTAGCGTAACAATGAAGAGGGCTGTCCCCTCAACAGCTTAACAATGAAGAGGGCTGTCCCCTCAGTAGCGTAACAATGAAGAGGGCTGTCCCCTCAGCAGCTTAACAATGAAGAGGGCTGTCCCCGCAGCAGCTTACCAATGAAGAGGACTGTCCCCTGAGCAGATTAAAACTGAAGAGGGCTGTCCCTGGCTTGTGGAATTGACACTGCAAACCACTCTGGATGGACATAGCCAAACCCCCACAGCACAGAATCTGATTGGTAAAAAAACCACTTAGGTAATGCTTTCCTGGGTAAATAAAAAAAATGTCACTCTTAGGATTTCACTGGTCTGTAAAAATCCACTGCTGGATGAAAGCCTTGCCATGCTCATCCATTATGCATATGTGGCAACCTTACACACGTCCTTTTAAATGAGGCTATCAAACGTTTCGGTTTATCTGGGACAGCACCCGTGTTTTCAGATGCCTGCCCCTGGCGTTGCGAAGGATTTGTGAAAATCAGGATTTGGTCCCCAATCTCTGGCCTCTTACTGAACTCAGGATGCGGGCGAAGGGCAGAGCTACCCTGAGTAGGGGGCAGGGCAACCTGAGCAGTGGGCGGGTCGACTCGAGAAGTGGGTGGAGCTTTTGTGAGCAGTGGGCGGGGCCTATGAGCAGTAGGTGGGGCCCGGATCAGGAGGAGCGAGGCAATTCGCTGTGAGTAGTGATAGTGGTTGGGTGGGCGTGGCTAAGTAAATGTGGGCAGGTCTCGCCGGAGGCAGGGCCGCGAGATCGTCAATGGCATCACGATGGCAACATGTTAACTACCTCGCCTGGTATACAGGAGGTCGAAGGTTCAATCACGACCCTGACGCCTGGATATTTGCAGTTTGTATGTTCTCCCCGTGGTCACGTGGATTTTTCTCGGGTCCTCCGGTTTTTCCCTCCACATTTAGAAACATGCGTTTAGAGTATTTGACTGCTCTAAATTTCCACTTATTAATCCACTCTATTGAGCTATCCTTTGTGGCCACGTTAACTTCACAAAAAAATAGCTGTATAGCTCAGTGGGCCTTAGCTGGTGAAATAAAAAAAAATATTAGAATTGAAATAGTCTAGTGTTAATGTATCCCCGTCGAGCCTCCCGGGAAAATTCTTTAGCTCGATCCCTGTCAGAGCCACCTCCCGCAGCTCCTTTGAGGTGGCACCGTCGGTGAGGGATGGGGGGGGGGGGCAGGGAACCATCGTGGGGGGGGGCGGGCGGGGGGGGGCGCGCCCTCACCTGACTCTGAGCACGGTGAAGGATCCGTCTTTCATGCCGAGCGCCAGCTGCGTGCCATCGGGGCTGAACGCCGCCGACCTCACCGCCTCCTCCATGTTGCAGCGAGCGATGAGCGCGTGGTCGGCCAGGCTCCACAGCCTGGGTGGGTGGGGGTGGGGGGGTTATAGGGAGGCCACCGTGTGATGGTTGCCGTCATTGTCGTCGTTGGCGTAATCATTGTAAGTTGTCGCTTTCGTCATGGTTAGCAGCAGCAGCGTCTTCATCAACAGAAGCCTCGTCTGTATCAGTATCGTCCAATGACGTCCAGGTTACCGTTCTCATTAATGACATCACCACAGTGCTGGATTTAGACAAAGCTACAGATTATGGCCTCAAGTTAAGAGGGGGCCTCTAAATACGAAAATAATAATACAAAGTTTAAAGTTTTACATAATCTGTGTCGCACCTGCTCCCCGTGATTGCGTGGATTTTTCTCCGGACCCTCCGGTTTTTCCCTTCATATTTAGACAAATAAATGAAATAATTAACCGTCAGTATTTTGTCGCTATGAATGTCCACGTGATAAGCCACTTAGTTGAGATGTCATTTGTGGCCAGGTTATTTCTGGAAAAGAGCTATAGAGCTCAGTGGGCCTTATCTAGCAAAATAAAAATGGTTTCAGTTTCAACAAAATATGCAATTATAAAGCTTTAATATTTATATTTTCATTGCCCTTTATGTTTAAATTATACACATTTTGAAAAAATAATACGACAGAGCCTCTTAAGCTTGACATAGCTTAGGGCCCCAGCATGTCATAATCCCGCCTCTGCATCACCAGTCAAACGTCTTGCTTGATTCGTTGACGGAGAGCGGAGTGGGCTAGAGGCTGGTGGTGAGCGGGGATTGAGTGAGGAAGCGGGGGGGGGGGGGGGGAGTCCTGGGGTGGGGGTGAGGAGCGCAGGGGGTGTGGAGAGAGGGGGGGGGGGTCAGCGGCGTCCTTGCCTGACGGAGCGGTCGTCACTGCCCGTGACGGCGAGCGGCTTGGCGGGGTGCACGGCGAGCGCCCACAGCTCCCCCTCGCAGTGGCCCTGCATGACGAGCAGCGGGGAGTCGCGCTCGCGCACAGCCACCTCCAGGATCTCGCTGTCCTGCGTGCCCACGGCGATACGGTCGCTCCTCCAGCACACGCTGCGTACGGACAGCCCTGGGAGGGGGGGGGGGGGGGGAGGGGGCCCGGAGGGGAGGGGAGGGGGAGGAGTGCCAGGTTGGCAGGTGGGGGTGGGGGGGTAAGGATGCGGGAGGATCGGAAATTTGGTAGGGGAGATGATGATGATGATGATGATCGCGGGAGACAATGGGGGAATGAGGTGGAGAGACACGGAGTTGTGACGGGAAGATGGGAGGGGACGGGGAGACAATGGGCGACGTGGGGGGGGGAGATAGGGAGCCGAAGAGACGGGAAGATTCGGGAGATGGCGGGGAGATGGAAATACGTGTGAGATAATGCGATGGGGAGGTCGGGATAAGAAGAGCGATAGATGGGGAGATCGATGGGGAGAGAGACAGCCGTGGAGACCAGGAGACGGAAAGGTAGAGGGACAGGGAGACAGCGCGATTTGGGAGCATCTAAAATAGTGTGCTGTTGAGCAGATTATCTGTATGCAGCATTTGACCCTAGGTTCGCTCGCAGACACACACACGTACAACCACAAACACACATAGGACGTTGTAAAGCGCGTCGGTTCGGTGATTGCAAGGCTCCGTATCCCCTTGAGACGCCACTGCTAAAGAAGCCTCGATACGGCCAAGAAAGTTCAGGGGCAAGAAGAGTTTGAGGCACTAGGTGGGGAGGAGGGGTGGGGGTGTAAGATGCCAACGCACGCATTGAGCAACGCTTCTGGACAGTCCTTGCGCGGGGAGAAGAGCCACGGGAACGGGAACCACGAAAGTTTCTAAGTGAAAACGGGGGTAGGGGGAGGTGGCTGTGAGAGGGAAATAAGTAAGCACAATTCAAAGGAGCAATACGCCCCCCGTTAGGAAGCGCTCGAATCCGACCAGACGCGCAGCACGTGGAATCGAGCATTCCTGCTGCGGGAGCCATACGGCCTCGTTGTGTTTTTTTTTCATTGTACCCCCCCCCCCCAATCGTGGCGATCGCGTGGCAGCAAGAGGCGGGCGAAGCACGACGGTGCCCCTAGCGTGAGGTCGGCGGCGCGGAGGAAGTGAAGCTGTGACGGGGAGACGCAGCGGAGGAGGAGGAGGAGGAGGCCACGTGGCGCACACGTCGGAGTGCCGGGCAGGCGCCCCGCTGAGATGCTGCATCGAACCCTGGCGGCAGTCGCCTTTGATTAAACCGGGTTCCCAAGTGTAGCGAGTCGGTGGACTCAGCCACAGCACCAATGACTTGCATAGAGATCCGTAGACTTAGAGACCCGTATGGGCATGCATAGAGATCCATGGAGTTGCATTGAGACACAAGCTTCCATGCAGACTAACGGAGACTGATGGACTTGCATGAACACCCGTAGACTCACATTGGCACCAATGGATTGAGTTGTGGTAAAATTCACCTTTCCATATGCATAGAGCTTAGATTATTTCGCTGTTATAAATGTTCACGTGATAAGCCACTCTTTGTCGAGCTATCATTTGTGGCCAAGTCGCGTCTGAAAAAGATAAATAGATATATATATAGCTCAGTGGGCCTTACCTGCTCAAATCAAAAAGAGTTAAGTTTATAGTTTAGTTTAATCTCAGCAGCATTTGTTCAACATCAAAAAAACTCTGCACCAGTTTCGACATGCAGTGTCTCATCAGTATTCAGGCTTGCTTCAACCAATGCTCCGATAGATATTCGTAACACTTCACGCTATATTCTCCACAGCGACGCGTTTGTGGTTTTATACATCAATATATACCATTGTCTTATAATGAATATATCGTAAAATCAGAGCATCGATCTGGAATTAAAACACATTTCTCCTCGATGTTGTTAAAAGCCCTCCTCCATCTTAAACAATCGTGTGGGGCCCAGGCTCCCTGTCCATGGTGGAGAGTCACCCCGCGTCACACCGTGGGTGAGCCATCGGCAGACGCACGGAACGCAGGGACCCACGTGGGGGCAGGGGGTGGGGATGCGAGATTGAGGAGGAGCAGGGAAAGAGGGGAAGAAGAGGACGTGGGAGACGGATGATGATGAGGAGAGAGAGGAGGAGAATGATGAGAGGGAGGGGAGGAGGAGCAGGTAGAGGGGGGAGAGGAGGAGGGTGGAGGAGGAGAGGAAGGAGAGAGGAAGTTGTCTCCATGGACTATCGGTTGTGCTTTAGCGCGGGGGAGAGTGGATCTGTGAAAAAAAAAAATACTGTAATAAATAAACGCCACGAGACAGTAGGTGTTGCTAAAAATAGCGTCTCGTGTGCACCGCATTCGTCATTGTAATGGCTTTTTGTTGTGCGCTTAATATTCTAATTCTTCATTTTTGTTTAAGGGCATGGGGCTTCTACGTTTTGCCGTAAACAAACAGAACAAATTGCCCCATTAAATGGGTGCGCCCAAAAGAAAATACAACACTCGTGCGCAATGCTTCTTCATCCGCAGAAAGTGTCTCTCATGATGAGAGCAAATTATATGCACGGCAATTTGTCAATCGACGATGCTTGTACGCTGCATTGCTCGCAGAAGTACTACGCTGAATGAAACGAAAAAGGAATGACTCATACGATGAATATTAACTTTGTCATCGCTGAACGAGCTATCGGACCATCTAATCACGATTTAACGCGTTCGCCAATTAACAACTGACATTAAACTATATATATATATTTTTAATTTTACCAGGTAAGGCCCATTGATTAGCACGGTTGGCTACGTACAGTGCGAAAGAAGTTCAACATACGTACGTTCATACAAATGATAGCTCAACGAAGTGGCTTATCATGTGGACATTTATAGCAGCCAAATACTCTAAACGCATGCTTCTAAATGCGGAGGGAAAAAAATCGGAGGGGCCTAGAGAAAAATCCACACGACCACGGAGAGAGAAAGACATGCAAACTCCAAATATATAACATGTGTCAGGGTCGGGATCGAATCCACGACCTGCATACCAGGCGAGGTAGTTAACACGGCGGTGTTCATTACATTGTTTACATTATCATAGCTGAGGTTTACTTGAAGGGAAATATATATTGTATTACGACTTATTATTTATGCAGACATTGGTTAACCAGGTTGAAACCATGAACACGCTACATTTGAGAAACCGGTTTAGTGTCGAGTGACCTGGGGTCACCAGAAATGACGAAATGGAAAACAAATTTATTCAATTACAGCGAATGAAGCAAACAGCAATCAGCACAAAAAAAACAACGGCGTCACGTGAGCAACTGTAAAGATTGCGCAAACATCGCTCAATGTTAAATAAACAAATCCCCTGGGGCAGATTGCTTTTAGACGGATCGCCGCACAACTGCAAGTTTGCGTTCAAGAGAAACACCGAGAGGATATCGGGCCGACCGCTGTTGCTCAAAGTAAGAACGTGAACGGACGAGGGTGACAGTCACGACGGGCGGGATGCTCAAACGCGGATCTCGACTGCGGTGACGACCCGCGGCGTTCGCCGATTCCGGCCACCTCGAGGAAGTTGCCTCGCCACGTGTCGGTGCGCTAGTGCGGCGAAGCGAGCCGCACTAGCGCACCGAGAGCAACAACAACAGCAACAACAACAGCAACAACAACAGCAGCAGCAGCGACAACAACAAAAAATCGCCTTCGTTTAGCGGGGCGCGTGGCTTTTAAAGTCCCTCGGCTTGAATCGCACGGAGGATCAAGACGGACACGCGCGCGTACGGTGCTAGCTCGCGCGAGAGGAGACAGGAAACACATCCAGCTACTGTTCCAGTTAGGGGCGTCAATTCTGCCATTAATATCGATCCTGAAGCTAACAATACACGCGTGTGATCGCGTGCCTAAAATCGATGAGAGGGAGGGAGGGAAGGAGGGAGGGAGGTCCTTTGTGTTGTATGTGATGAGTTCACGTGATGTTAATCCCTGCAGGGGCCAGAGGTCGCTGCGTTGCCCGCGCGAGCGAGCGATGCGAAGAGGTAAACTACGAGGAGGAATGGTAACGGAATAAACAACGCAAACACACGGGGGACGGGCAGCCGGAGGCTGGGAGACAACGACGGACACGGCGTCTCGTGGAGGCTGTCAGCGTTGGTTCGAGAGCTGCTCGCGCGTTCGGACACGGAGAGGGCAGTGGTGGGAGGACGGAGGGTGGTGGTGGTGGTGGTGGTAGGGGTGGTGGTGGGGGTGGTGGTGGTGGGGGGAGTGGTGGTGGGGGGGGGGCGGCGGCGGCGGTGGTCCCAAAGCGATAGAATACAGGAAAAACATAACATTTCATACGCCAATTTTTATTATACGTTGCTATTTACGGAGCAGTGGTGATTTATTTTAATTAGGCCGGATACTAAGACGTGTCGCCAGATAAGATGTTTAACCGTGACACAGCAGGCGGAGACCGTATTTTTAAAACCGAGCGAGGCTCCAAACTTTCTTAATTGGAAACAAACGCGGGGGGGGATGGAGCGAGGTGGGGGAAGGAAAAATAATAACGAGCGAGCTGCATTATCGTCGATGAACATTTGACGGTGCGGTCCGGGAGAGACGAACACCGTGACAAAGACAACAGAGGCCCAAGAGGAGATGGCACTTTAAACATCTGAAGCCGGAGCGAGTTTTTTTTTGTTTTGCTTGTCTCGCCACGTAATAATAATAAAAAAAATATTTTTTTGTGTGTGCCAACCCACGACTCTTCGTCATCGATCGCTTCAAACAATTTCAAATCGTCACGCGCCGCTGCATCACCGCCGAACATCGCCGAACATAGCCTCGCCCAAGGTCAGGGGGTCAAAGAAGTTGACGTTGCTCGCCACTAGGGCCCGTGAACGATGCTCCCAAGCTGTGATTCAACAAACGTTCAAACTGCGCCGTATTATCTGGCTGTATAGCAAATGAAAAAACACAATGACTTTACGATGCAGGTTAACATATTCTGCAGGCCCCACACTGATTAATCCGGCACTGTGGGGGAGCAAATACAAACTCTACAGGAAAAGGGAGCCCTCGCCGGGAATCGAACCCTGCGTTCGCGACGTCTCCTTCCTCCGCACCTCTGAGAAGCACGGTCGGCTATGGACGGTGCGAAAGAAGTTCAAGGTCAACACACGCGAATTGGTTGTTTTACGGTTGATGCAAGCGATACGTTTAGGCTAGTGGAGCGAACAAAACGGTAAAAATGAGGCAGAATAAATCATAATAATCTTTATTGATACGCCTTTCATACCCCAAGGCACTACACGCAAGTTAAGATAATCTAAAACGAAACTATATATATTTTTACCAGGTAAGGCTCACTGAGCTGAACAGCTCATGTTCAGAAGCGACATGGCCTCAAATGACAGCCCAACAAAGTGGCTTATCGTGTGAAAATGTATAGCAGCCAAAAACTCTCCAACGTTGCAATTACGGCTTCATTTTTTGGTGATTTTCGAAAAGTTTTTTGGTTTGGACATGTTTGTTTTGTTGTAGTACGGAGTTAGACTGACGGGCTTAATCTAAGTTTTCTTGTGGTTGTTGTTGTTGCTTGACTTGCATCCCACTGGGATTTTTTGCACAAAGCGTTGGTGTACGGTGCTTTTTTCAGGAATATTTTGCTGGTTTTTTTCATGGATATTCTGTTTGCACAGTCACACAGTCACTTTAAGATGTTTTCTTGTTCGTGTTTTTGTTTGTTGTGGTTGCACCCGATTCAAGAGCCGAATGGCTCACAGGGCTATACCAAAATAAATAAACTGAACAAAAACAACACAAGTTTCTCAATGTGGAAGGAAAAACCCGGAGGACCTGGAGACAAATCCACGCGACCACGGGGACAGAGAGAGAGAGAGAGACACCGCAAACTCCAACTATACAGGCGTCTGGGTCGGGATCCGAACCTACGACCTCCTGTGCATACCGGGCGAGGCAGTCACCGTCTCGCCACCATGGCACCACGAAGACGAAACAAACGCGTGAGGCTACAAGCGACGTGGCGCACTTGCTGCTGAGGGTATAAACGGCGGGGGGGGGGGGCAGAGTGTGGGCGAGATTGTTGGCGACGGGAGGGGCACTCGCGAGAGACAAAACGCGCGAGACGACGATTGGAGCGGTGAACACGGCACGGAGAAGCATCGATTCTTGAAGAGAATCATCGGTGCCTTGACGAGAATACTCTCTGGTTCTTTCGGTAAAGTCACGTAGACAGAAAAAAATATAATAATAATAAAACACGACGTTTCGGTCGCAACGCAAGCGTCCGTGATCAGATAACTTTGCCGAAAGAACCAGAGAGTAGGGATTTCTGCAGTCACGAAAGCTTCAAATCAAGATTGACGAGAATAGTTTACAAGGGGTGGATGGACCTGCAGCAGGAGTGGGGGGCGGGGGGGGCTCAGTTCTGTTTAGCCCCCCACCCCCCACCACCCGACTCGACTGGACCCCCTTGAAAAGTGACTTATTAGCTGTCCAAATGTTCTCACGGTGCAAAGAGTAGAGCCTCTGTCTGCTTGCGTCTGTCTGTCTCTCGGTCTGTCTGCGGTGTGTCAATGTGCGTGTGTGTGTGTGCGTGTGCCTCTCTGCATGTCAGCCTGTCTCTATGTCTGCCTGTGTTTATTTGTCGTTCCGTGAGTGCCGTTACCTTTGTAGCCCTGGTCGCTCTCGGCCAGGTCGATGGTCGTGATTGGCTTGAAGTCGGTGTCCCAGAGCCTCACGCAGCCGTCGCGTCCTCCGCTGGCGAATCCCTCCTCGCACGCGTACAAGCTGAAGATCGCCGACTGTGCAACGCACGACACACGTGTACGGCGATAGCCTATTATCACGACTACTAAGCACGCTGATACACCCACGGCAAGCTTCTAATACTTTGTTCGGGAAGGGGTTCTGCCACGTTTTAGCAGTAAGTGCCGGTTGGGCGGGGGGGGGGCGTTCTTGCCGTGCACAATCCCAATCGAGACATTTGCAGGGACATTTTATCACACGCTGGTGATATCTTTTGGCCGCTAACGCCGCCATCGCGTTGAATCTTGACTTAAATCTTTCGCGACTGCAGGAATTCATATTCTTTGGGTCTTTCGGTAAAGTCACGTAGATAGGTTCAAAGAAAATAACAAAAAAAACTACGACGTTTCGATCACAACACAAAGAATAGCCATCAGGTTGAGCGTGTCAAGTTGTTTTGTGGTGTTGTTATCGTTGTCATCATCTGGGGCGTGACGACAACATCCACCTTTGACGATTGCTGGTATACACTACATTTTCGAATATTCCTCCTTTTCATTCGACATTTGGTTGTTAATCGTGTTGTTGTTCCCACAGCTGGCGATAGCGATGCAGCCCAAGAGTACGATGAGAGGCACACGCACTACGTGCGGAACAAACAAAACAATAAACAAAAACATTGATGGAGAAAATTAACGGCACGTAATTTTACGGAGATTAAAAGAAAACATGTTTTCGCACACGGATGAAAAATAAAATGTGCTTCGAAGAATTATTTTTCAAAATCCACAATTCCCCTGCACCATGAGTAAACGTGGTCTCAGCTCAGCCACACCAATGACATCACCAGTAGATACATAAAACAAAACATTTTAATACCACCGCATGAAAAAAACGTAACGTAACAATGCATGGATTAATCGGCTGAATTCCAATTCTTACGCTCGAGATGCACGTGTGGAATCGTGCGCGTGAGACTCAATTATTTATGTTAATTAAAATTCAATGCATTATAGGGGTAATGGCGTTCGCAAAATTGCACAAACGAGATAAAGTTTGAGATGAATATGCGATATCACATTCTCGCAGCGGCTTTTGGCTGACCACGGAAAGATGGTCACCGCATCACGTGTTTTCAGATGCACTTGTGCGGCCGTCTGGAACGCTCTTCCTCCCCATGTTAGGAAGCCACTTGGAGTTATGGACTTATAAAAACCTCGTTTGAAAACTGGTTTATTGAGAACTGATTTATGTGTTTACATTGTTTTCCTTCCTCGTACCTCCGATTAGCACAGTTGGCTATGTACGGTGCAAAAGAAGTGCAACATACATTTTCAGGGAATATGCAAATGCATGCACCCACGTATGCCGTAAGATAGACCTGTGGAAGTGAATTCACAAGTGTATTCGTAATAACGTCATCTTCCAAGGCCGTTCTCAGGTACAAGGTGATACACTGCTGTCTGCACGAGTGACAAATGGGAATTCCTTTGTCCCGTGATGTGATGTCGATAGCACAATTGACATATAACTGCGGGAATCGGAGGTGGGGAGTGAAGGGGAGGAGGAAAGGGGGCGGGGAAATCAATCCCTTGAAGAAGAAAAAAAAACACTGCTGTACATTTTACGCAAACACGATATACGGACTCCCCCATCAATCCAACAGCCGATCGTTTGCACAATTCATTAGACGGATACGAGCTCGCGAGGTGAAGGTTACGCGCGAAGAAAACTTATACCGGCCAGCGCCCTGTAATTTGTGATGATTGCGACGCTTTAAGCGGAACAATTATCGTTCAGCGGCATCGACGCGGTACACACGCGCGCGTGCGCGCGCACGCACGGGAAGCGGCTTCTCAGGCGCAGACGTGCCAAGCGCCGTCAGCCTCATCCAAAGCGCGGCTCCGCAAACAAAAAAGGGCTGAAGAGACGCGGCCACGCAAACGCCTTCTCGGGCCCCTGCTGGCGGAGGGGGGGGGGGCACGCCAAAGACATTTTGGTCGCGGTGGGAGTTGACCCACGCTTTACCCCCACCGCACAACGTCTTACGCCTGCTTCGAGTGGACAGAGGCGTTGGGGAGGATTTTAAACAAAATAAAACTTGCACCATCGATTTTAACTCCAGCGCCGGGAGATGGAGTTGAAACTATACCAAACATTTTTTTTTTATTCTACCCGGTAGGGCCCACTGAGCCATATAATGTTTTTTCAGAAGCGACCTGGCCCACAAATGATCGCTCAACGAAGTGGCTTATCGCGTGGAAACGTTATTGCAGCCACACTCTCCGAGCGCGCGTTGTTTCTAAATGTGGAGGGGAAAAGCGGAGGGTCCGGAAAAAAAAGTCCACGCTACCACGGGAAGAACATTCAAACTCCAAATATACAGCAGACGTCAAGGTCGGGATCGAACCCACGACCTCCTGTATACAATGAGAGGTTGTTGACATCTCACCACCCAGTCAAACCGTCGACTCTCCGGTGTCCGAGCCATTATATCGCCACCGGGGCGGCGTCCTGGCTTTGGAAAATTGACAGGGCTATACAAAGCATTTAAAATCATGACAACGATGAAAAGAAATTGCTCATAGGCTGCTGGGACCATGCTTCTCTCTAATGGGGTCAGGGTTAAGTTGAGCGAGGGAGGAGATCAGTGGCATTGATTGTGCGCGTTTAAACCAAGCAAGGGGCCCCTTAACGGGCCGGCGAATACGAGAATGATACACAGGCCAGGCCGGTGCCAGCGAGCGACTCTTACGGGATGGGCAGGCGGAGCGGGAGGGAGCGAGGGTGGGGGGTGGGGTTTCTTAACAGAGGTCAGTCAAGCCCGGCGCAAGGAGGCAATCAGAATTCCACATCCAACGCCACGCTGTTCTTTTTCATCCGTCGCCTCCATCACCCCACCGCCCCTCCTCCCCCACCGCCACCGCCACCACCACCGCCACCACCACCGCCACCACCACCGCCGCCCTCCTCCACCACCACCCCCCTCCTCCTGCCGTGCTGCCAATGCCAGCCACCGCACCAGGAGATGGGTTTGTCATCAGCCGCTTCATTTGCACCATGCTGTGTCCGGGTCGCTCGTCTAACGGTGGGTCCCGCAACCAGGGCTGGAACGAGGCGGCTGCTGAGGTGGGCTACGCACCGCTAAATGTGCACCCCCTCCGCGGTGGTGAGATGTTAACTACCTCGCCTGGTATACAGCAGGATTTGGGTTCGATCTCGAGCCTGACGCCTGCTGCTGTATGTTTGGAGTTTGCGTGCCTCTCTCCCCGTGGTCGCGTGGATTTTTCACTGGGTCCTCCGTTTTTTCCCTCCACATTTAGAATCAGCATGCGTTTAGATTAGTTGTCTGCCATGCATTTCCACGTGATAAGCCGCTTCTCGTTGGGCTATCATCATTTGTGATAGCCAAGTCGCTTTTGAAAGAGTGCCATATCGCTCAGTGGGGCTTTACCAGGTGTAATACAAAAAAAAAACACAGTTTCGTTCATAGTTGTTACGTCCCTTTGGCCCTCGGCCCGGGTTCACTCTCCTTCGTACTTCAACAGCGTAAGCGAGTGTGTCGGTGAGTGGGCCTGTGAGCGAGTGAGCGAGTGAGCGAGCGGGTGAGTGGGCCTGTGAGCGAGTGTGCCGGTGAGTTGGTCTGTGAGCGAGTGAGCGAGCGGGTGAGTGGGCCTGTGAGCGAGTGAGCGAGCGAGCGAGCGAGCGGGTGAGTTGGTCTGTGAGCGAGCGAGCATACCGCGTGCGCGGCCTGCACGGTGCGGGCGAGCGTCACGCCCTTCCACACGTACACATCGCCGTTGAGGGCGCCCGAGTAGGTGAGGTCGTCGCGGGCGCACGCCAGGCACAGGATGGTCTGCAGATCGCCCGCCTTGCCAAACACCCCGCGCTTGGGCGTCAGGGCGTTCCCGCACATCGTCCAGAACTTGGGCGGGAGGAGAAGAGGTCAAAGGGTTCACCCAGTCAATATTTATTTACGAGCGAGCACTTCGCATCCATCAAAGGCGCCTCGGAGCACTTTGCGTGCATTTGCATTAGCCCGAATGCCCGGCGCTTGGGTTTAATGGGCGCCTCGGTTGCAAGATGTTAACTACCTCGCCTGGTATGCAGGAAGTCGCGGGTTCGATCCCAACCTTGACGCCTGCGTGTTCTCCCTGTGGTCGCGTGGGTCTTTCTCCGGGTCCTCCGGTTTTTCCCTCCGCGTTTATAAACATGCGTTTTATAGTAGTTGGCTGCTATACATTTCGACGTGATAAGCTGCTTCTCGCTGGGCTATCATATGTGATAGCCAGATCGCTTCTGAACAAGAGCTATATAGCTCAATATAATTTTAATAGTAATAATAATACTATATGGGCCAAAGTGGTCTCTCCAGATGCATTCTCAGCCTTCTGGGAGTGCGTAATTTCAGTCGCATCGATTCAAGGCAACCGAACTCTGGACCGGTGTTCGACAAGCAGTGTCCCATCGGCAGAGTCAGGCTCGCTCGAAATCAACGCCGCTGCTGCTGATGAGCCGCCGATCTTACGGCGGGCAAGGGACCCTCTCTCCTGTGCGATACGGCGGAGGGGCGGCGTGGTTCGACGCAAAAAATTATTATTCACATTCTTCACGACGATGCTAACGACGGTCTTTGAGCGATGCAGGGCGATGTGACATGGCCCAGTGCCGGATTAAGCTCGTGCGGGGCCTGTAGCATATGCTACAAAAGGACCCTAAAAAATATATTGAAACAGGAATTTTTCTACTTGCACAGTAAAGTAACTGTATTTTTTTATTTGCCCATACAGCCAGATAATACGACAAAATCGCTAACCTTAAACACCCAGTCGTTCGTAAAAGTTGAAGGCAGTAGAGTACTATAGTGATAGAGCAAGTGCAGAATCGCTGGACCGGAATTGATAGCTTGAAAAGCATTTAGCGCAGGGCCCTTGAAAGTGCGGGGCCCGTAGCTGCTACTACACATGTAGCTACTTTTGCTACAGGGATAATCAGGCACTGACGTGACCGTGAGCGGAGGACCGTGACGACACCACAATTTGCCGAAGCGGTTGCTGACGAGCTTACTCGCCGGCGTGCAATTTGCACGTTGGAACACAGCCATCTGGCGAGGATCGTAGACATTTCTTAGCGACATGCCAAACAAACTCCAATTAAAGTTTTAGTTTCGCTTTCATTGGCCGCGTGCAAAATATATATTGAATGCCAAAAATACGTTCATTTTGGTAATTACGTGTTCTGTCGATTAACACAATTCGCTCCTACATGTGTTTCGTAGAGATGTGAATTTGTGGGGGGCGGGGGGGGTGGCGGTGGCGTGCTTGTCGGCAACAGGCGCTCCGATACATGGCCACAGCCGAACGAACGCGAGCAGTGGGCGATGCCCGTTGTGCACCACGACCGGCCCTGACGACGGTGACCTCGCGTCGAGGGGTCTCTCCCTGCCCGCCGTGCTTGAGTCATGACGCGAGCTTGCAAATCGTGGCTCAGTGGGTGGCCAAGCCCCCCATAGCTAAAGGAGGGCGCCGCGGTGGCGAGATTTTAACCTCGCCTGGTGGTACACAGGAGGTCGTGGGTTCGATCCCATCCCTGACGCCTGTATATGTGCCTCTCCCCATGGCCGCGTGGAATTTTCTCCGGATACTCAGGATTTTTTTCCCTCCACGTTTAGAAATCAACGCGCGTTTCGAGTATTTGGCGGCTGCTATAAAATTTCCACGCGGTGAGCAATTTAGTTGAGCCATCATTTGTGGCCAGGTCGCTTCTGAAAAAGGGCTACACGTAGCTCAGTGGGCCTTACCTGCTAAAATCTTTTTTTTTAAATAGCTTAGTTTAGTTTTAAGCGAAGCCACAACCCTCCTATGCCAGCAGCAAAGCGCATTCAACAGCATGGCGACGCCAAACGGGCAGCCACGTTTCATCGGCAGCTCGCACCAGACTGTCCTCACCCGTTGTAAGGGTTAACGGCAAAAAGCCGCCGCGATTCTGTGCCGGGAATTATGGCGGTGGCGGTGGAGAAGGTAGCGAAGGAAAAAAAATTAAGGGAAGTGCAGCCGTTGCTATAAATAGCCGCGCGGGTGAGCAGGATGCCTGGCCGCTCACTGATAAGTGAGCATGAATGGGCCGGGGACAGCAGCAGCAGGGGCGAGAGGTCCCCTTATAATCAGCGCAATTAGGCGAGAAAATGGTTGGGACACGGAGACTTTCTACTCGGCCGCCCAATTCCGTGCAGCAGGGGCAAGGGGCGCGCCAATTGACCATTCGCCGACATTTGTTGTAATTGAAAATGTCGTCAGCAGCAGACGCCGCACCGTGATCTATCCACTGTTGGCAGTACCGAATTATCCTAGTAGCAAAAGTAGCTACTACATATGTAGTAGCTACGGGCCCCGCACTTTCAAGGGCCCCGCGCTAAATGCCTTCAAGCTATCAATTCCGGTTCAGTGATTCTGCACTTGTTCTATTACTATAGCACTATACTGCCTTCAACTTTTATGAACGACTGGGTGTTTAAGGTTTGCGATGTCGTATTATCTGGCTGTATATCAAATGAAAAATTACAATTACTATGCAAGTACACAATTAGTGTTTCAATATTTGTGTTTTTAAAAATGTAGGGCCCCTTTATAACATATTCTGCAGGCCCCGCACTAACTTAATCCGGCACTGCTGCTGGATGAAGGTATTCCCCCCGGTCATCATCATCTCGTGAGAATTTTATTGTTTTATTTTATTATTTTATTCTGATTCTACGTGACTTTACCGAAAGAACCAAAGAAGATCTCTCGCAGTCTTGCAGAGCGACAACACCTTGAAGCTCCTGCACACGAGCTGATTTTATCGCTCCATCTCCATGGCGGTAGTGGTGCGTCCCGATTCTTGGATGCCCACTCCGTTATTTTTATTATTGATCATCTGCCATCATCTCTCTTCGTGAGATGTGCTACCAAGGCACAATTACCATTGACAAAAAATATACGGTTGACATGGGGCTTTGAACATTGGAACCAAACCAACCGTACCATAAATCGGCCTTTGTTTGAAACTATTTTAAGCTTTCACATTTATTTTTATCTTTTACCAGGTAAAGCGCACTGACTTTTAAAGCACTTTTTCAGAGGCGACCTGGTTATAAATGAGAGCGTGGATGGATGTATTTCTCATGCCGTTACCTTGATGTGCTTGACCCCACAGCTGGCCAGCCGATGCGGCTGGTACGCGTCCCAGGATATGTCAAAAATCTGCAAAAAATGCAACAAGTTTCACATGTTCGCACGCACTCATACCACCTTGCCATACATATATATTTTGAACAAAACGCAAGCCTATTATTTTTGACAAGATACACGAAAAAAGCAACGAGCGCGATGGTTTGTACCAGCTCCCCCCCACCGCCAACCCCCAGCTCCCCCCACTCCCCCCCCACCGCCCTCCCCCCAGCTCCCCCCCACCGCCAACCCCCAGCTCCCCCCCACCGCCCTCCCCCCAGCTCCCCCCCACGCCCTCCCCCAGCTCCCCCCCCCCCCCCCCCCACCGCCCTCCCCCCAGCTCCCCCCGACCGCCCTCCACATCGTCTGAGATCGAACCGCTCAGATAGTTGTCGCTTTCATCGCACCCCCAATAATTAGCTTAAAAAACCCCCCGTGTTCTGGCGATCAGCCGTAGCTACATTTCAGAGGAAGAGAAGTTTCATTATCTTCCTGCAGAATCCGCGACACGTCTTGCTCCCAACAGACGCCGATGGCACCGCGGATTTCATCTTTTCCCCATCACTTTCGTTGACGCGTCCGTCGTCGATTTTCTTTTTTACTTTACACTCTTTCGCGAAACGTAATTTAAATCGTGATCAGATTTGCGCCGGAAAAATACCAAATCTAATCCGACTTCCAAGCGAGTTTCCGCAGAGAGGCCTTGACAGGCGACGCGATTGTTTAAGGGGTTCTTCTTAAAGCGGCGGGGGCCAAACGCCTCGGCGGAATTGCTCCTTTGGCGCTTGTGCCTGAATTAAAACGTGACCGTCGCTCTTTAACAGGCTGCTAAGTGCGCGAGTGTGTGCGTGTGTGTGTTTATAATCTTGTTGTTGCGTTGTTTTTTGTCGAGGTTAGAGGTTGTCGCCGTGGGGAGCGGTAGTGTAGAGGCGAGCGCGCTGCGCTACGAACCTGGCGACCCGAGTTGGATTCCCGCTCACGGCCAACATCAGCGACGATTATCTGAAGCGGTCCTGGGCCTCCCCTAGGTCGACTCAGCCTAAAGTTAGTACCCTGGTGTGGTGCTTAAAAACATCGCCACTAGGGAGACAAAGGCGGCACGGTTGTGGTGCAGGCTAACTACCCCTTCGTGTGCCGTTCCGGCCTTCATAGGTGCTACTCGCTAACAGCACTTGCCCCAACAGTCTGTTAAGGCTATACGGGGGATCTTTGTATATATGTAGTGTTGGCAAAGGAGGTAGAGACTTCTTTGTAGGCAACACTGTTTATTTACTCCAACCTCAGAGAACGTCCCTAACACAGAGAGGTAACCGCCTCTCCCACTCGATAGCCTAGAGGATGATACGTCCTCATACTTAGTGTGCCCTCATACTATACTCTGCTTAACGGGTACCGCCACTGGGCCGTTCGGACCTGGCACTGACAAGGGCCGGAGGTCGGAAGTCCCAGGGCACTTTCTCGATGTCTTGAGTCTTGAGGTGAGTGCGGACTGGCTCATGTTGGGAGAGCTGCCGCCCTTTATATCCTTCCTCTCCCAAGCGTCCTGTCTCTCGAGAGGGTCTGGGTCCAACCGTTGGCCCCCCCCAGCCCCCTCCCTCAGTGGGCTGTGGCCCCCTCACCCCTGAACAATGGTTATTGTAGTCGTGACTCATACAATACTGCTATGCAAGTAAGTATACATGTTACGCGTAACGATGCCGCTACATATATATAATCGTACCGAGTGACTGAGTAAGGTGATTGGTTTGCTTCACAGCTCTTTGTCAATCCGCTGCTCGACTTAGGGCCTCTCCCCAGCACTCCTGTCAGCTTGTGGTCGTTGTTTTACCCCGACGTCACCGACGAGAGGTGTCCAGGAACGGTGGGCGGACGATCGTTCGCCCACTGATGTTAGCCGTGGCCGGGAATCGAACTCGGGCCGCAGAGTTCAGAGCATCGCTCCCCTCTTATCATGTTGTAGAATGTTCTAGAACGTCTAGAGAACTACAGCTTTATGTATACATATAAATAGTCGAATTCTTTGCTACAAAAATCTTAAAAGCATTTTCTTTAGCCCTCCAGTAATTTTATTTTAGTGGGGAGGGGGGGGGGGCAATAATTCTACACCACCCAAAATCAGTGGTTCAGCCTAGGCCTATGAAAATGTTATTGTGGAGAGTAGCACAGGCACGACTTCACCGATGTTGGGAGGATTGCAGGGGAGGAGGAGGAGGAGGGGAGGCGGTGATATTTTGTAAAAATGTAAACTTTTTGGACATAGGCCGATAAGGGCTTGTATCTGGAGGTTTGGAGGGATGCTCGATCCCGCACTCTACGTAAGCCGGCAGCCGGACTGCGACACGCTCCCTCCCGCATGGCCTCGACGCTTCCGAATGGGAAGAGAAACCGACGATGCACACGGACGCCATCGGAATGGGAAAGGGTTAACTGGGTGAGCGGGTAAGTGCCGTTGAATTACAATTGTCGGATTTCCACGCCGAAGAATACATTTTTTATAGAAGCTCGAGTGTTATGATATCCGCACGCCGTTTGCTTTTAATCTGCCTTTCGTTTTAGTCGTCTTTTTTTTTGTTGAGAATTTTAATTTGCACGTTCAATCTAATTTCCCTTTGATTCAATCTCCGTTCAATTTTTAATTGAATCTTTATTCTTGCGTTTTGCTGCTGTTTGATCTGGTACTTTATTTCCCCCGCATATAGTGAAATATATTTAATTTGCGGCACTTTTTAATGCTTTAATAATTGGTGTAACTCGAGCAATTAGTATGCATTCACTTGTATTGACCCAGGTCTTCATCGGATTCAAAAGGCTTTTACAGACTCAGTGGGCTATTGCCTCGTATCAACAGAAGATATTGTTCTCATTGTGGACACCATGGTGGCGAGTTTGGGATGTGACCTCCCTCGCCTGGTACACAGGAGGTCATAGGTTTTGATCCCAGACCCTGACGATGCCTGTTGTACACTTGGAGTCCGCGTGTTCTCTCTCTCTCCCCGCGGTGGTCGCGTGGATTTTTCTCCGGTTTTCTCCGGCTTTGGCCTCCTCCACCTTTAGACACATCACGCGTCTAGATTATTTGGCTGCTACTCTAAATCCTGCACGTGTGGTGACGATAATCAGCCACTTTGATGAGCTGCCACGTGTGGCTCAGTCGCCTCTGAAAAATTGCTCATAGCTCAGTGGGATCTACCTAGTGAATATAATAGTTCAATTTATTATTATTAATGCACCGGTAATGCTTCACACAGGGGAAGGTCCTGTCAGGTTTTCACAGTAGTGGTTGATGCTTGATTATGTATAGTTCTAATTGACTAATTATGATTGCCAATATTATAACGTGTGTGTGCGCGTTAACGTGCCGGGGCGTAGGTACATGCACACGCACACACATGCGAATATGGAGGTTTTCACAAACGGTGAGGGCTATTCAGCCCAATCCGTCCCTACCGCACACAAATCAACATCAGCTTCATTTATACGCACGCACGCATGCAAGAATGCACCCAGCAAGATATCCGTGGCAACACAAATTCCAAAGCAATTACTACGTAGCAACTCAGCCCAATCTTGCCCCCCCCCCCTCTTCCCTACCGCATTGTAAGAAAATGCAATTATAATTAATAATATTATTGTTATATCTTCTTTGGTTCTTTCGGTAAGGTCACGTAGAATGAGAATAAAATAATAAAATAACACAATAAAATTCTCACGACGTTTCGGCCACAACGCAAGCGGCCGTCTTCAGGTGAAAGGAACAGACCTGTCGGGACGACAGAGCTTCAATGAACGATGTTAAGATTTGTAGCGACTTTTAAGCTGGTTGAGAGAAGTGAGGCACCTTGACAAAGGGGTTTACATATCAAATAGCTGAGGGATTAGCTTGTGACTGGTCACAGGAATGGCTATGTTAAAGTCAAAACCTATACATCCACAGAGGCAACTAGAAATTTAGCATTGAAATAGCTAAGGGATTAGCTTGTGCAAATAGCTGAGGGATTAGCTTGTGACTGGTCACGGAAATGGCTATGTTAAAGTCAAAACCTACACATCCACAGAGGCAACTAATAATTTAGCATTGAAATAGCTAAGGGATTAGCTTGTGACTGGTCACAGAAATAGATGTTAAAGTAAAGGCCTACACATCCACAGAGCTCCAATGAATGCTGTTAAGATTCGTAGCGACTTTTAAGCTGTGACCAGTCACAAGCTAAGCCCTCAGCTATTTGATATGTAAACCCCTTTGTCAAGGTGCCTCACTTCTCCCAACTAGCTTAAAAGTCGCTACGAATCTTAACATCGTTCATTGAAGCTCTGTCGTCCCGACAGGTCTGTACCTTTCACCTGAAGACGGCCGCTTGCGTTGTGGCCGAAACGTCGTGAGAATTTTATTGTTCTTTTATTATTTTATTCTCATTCTACGTGACCTTGCCGAAAGAACCAAATAAGATGAATCCTTGCAGTCACGAAAGCTTTCAATCAAAATTATTGTTATAATAGGTTTTTCCCCTTTTTTTTGGCAACAAAACAGGTGTGAAGATGTTAAAACACCAAACTGAAAACTTTTAACAAGGAATCATGTCTACATTAATGCTTGTGGTCAGAATGCAAACAAAAAACATACTCTAATAATATATGGCATTGTCCTTGAAACTGATTGGTCCACGCCAGAGACAGCTTTCATTTGAGCCTCGTCTCAAAAGAAAGCTGTTAGACCAGAGGACGCCAAAAGGATTTTTGGCGTCCTCTGGTCTAACACCGCTCGAGACGAGTGAGCGGGTGCTGCCGCAGCGTCTACAGCGGTTAGCGCGCTGCGCTCCCAGCTGATGCGACGCCCGGGTTCGATTCCAGCTCACGGCCACCTGTCCCTGTATCCGTCACTCGATGCACGTGCGTGCGCGTGAACCGTGGAGAGCGGCGGTGCAGCGGTTAGCGCACTGCGCTACGAACCGGAGCGACGCCCGGGTTCGATTCCCCAACCCGTCCCCGTGTTCACCGCTCTACTACGGTCGTGTTGCGCGTGAACAGTGGGGAGCGTCCACCGGGGCACGCCGCTCACGCACCCTCTCCGTGTGCCCGGGCGCGGCGGCGATTGGCTTGCCGCGCTTCCAGTCCCACACGCAGATGGAGTTCTTGGCATCGAGGCCGACGGACACGAGCAGCTGATGAGAGACGGGGAGGGGGCGGGGGGTCGTTAGGGAGGCCGCTGGCATTCTCTCGGCCGTTGTCGCTCGCTCGTCCATTGGGGGGAAGGGGGGCGGCGGGGGCAACGCGTCGCGGTTGTCGCCAGATTATTTTTTCTTACGCCTCGCTCGACTTTAATCGGAACGCCGCACCGCGCGAAGACGAGGTGTCGGAATCGGAATTATTGTTCGTGCTGGAGGAATCCGATGAGCTGTGAAGCTCTTTTGTTTCCACAGATGTGGCCTGCGGTGGGGCCAACGAGAAAAAAAAAACTACGGCACCGTTTCTCTCTAGAAAGGTTCACCAAGAGGCTGGTTATTTACTAATATCGTGTCGATTTATCTGCGGTTTATTTTTCTCTCACTTTGAGAGGGTGGGTGAGGTGGTCTGGATTGTATATATGTTGAACTTCTTTCCCACCGTACGCAGCCCACCGTGCTAATCCGGTAGGCCATGTGGCCTTCCTCAGCCAGCCGTGTTGTTCTGGTGGCAACCACCGTCACCGGATAAAGTTTAACGTAAAAAAAACCAGAACAGGCTCGCGGAAAAACACGCGCAAAGAACAAAAGAACTAAATAATCACTGCGCTAACCCTTTTATTTTGTCAATACGCCTACGACTCAACCGAAGTAGATTCATTAATTCACGCATACAATAATTGGCTCGCGCAAATCATTATTGCCGTGAAACATTCCAATTAAAATGGTTTGTTTAAACGCAGCAGCGGTAGCAGCTGCAGGTGCATGGTGGTGAGGCGGCCGTAGAGCGTTCCCCAGCTGTTGCAGAAGTTCCCGGTTCCAGGCCAGAGGCCGCCCTGGTTAATACTTGTGGTGTGCGTCGATTTAAAACAAAAATACAACCTGCTTTACGGCGGCCGTTAAAGGACCCGTAACATTGTTCGAAAAAGTACTATAAACTATTTTTTTTTATTTTACCAGGTAAGGCCCACTGAGCTATACAGCTCTTTTTCAGAAGCGACCTGGCCACAAATGATAGCTCAACGAAGTGGCTTATCACGTGGACATTTATAGCAGCCGAATACTCTAAACGCATGTTTCTAAATATGGAGGGAAAAAAACGGAGGCCCACGGGGGGTACACGCAAACTCCAAGTATACTGCAGGCACCAGGGTCGGGATCGAATCCACGACCGCTTACATACCAGGCAAGGTAGTTAACAACTCGCCACCGAGCAGGCCGAAGCGTGCTGGTGACACGGTCAAAAATTGCATTATTATTTTTCACTGAAATTGCAAAAGGAAAAATTACTCGCGAATTACCAAATTGGGCAAAGCCCCACGTGGCAACGCGGCCACGTGCGCCAGAACACAGCGCCCTCGCGACAGCAGCCTCGCACGAAAGGAACATCGCCAAGAACCACCGCGCGTGCCAACGAATTTACATTTAAAACGCACTAAGCGACGATGCCGCTGCTACCGCACTGGAAGTGCCGGTGCCAATACAAGCAACACGCGGCACGACCGCCTTCGCGACGTCACACACCTATCGACGCGTCACCAACGATCCCGCTCTGGGAACTATGTTTTTTTGTTTGTTGTTGCGCGGATGGATACCTGTCCCGTGACGTCGAAGGCGAGGCACGCCACTCCGTGCGTGTGCACGTCCTTGAGGATGGAGACGGACTGCGCGTTGTACGAGTCCCACACGCAGACGTACGGGTCGCGTCCCACCTGGCCCGTGGCCACGAGGCTGCGGTCCGGGTGCAGGGCCAGGCTAGCAGCGGAGGGGGAGGGGAGGGGGGTGGTGAGCACACAGGAGCACGTGTGGACGGACGCACGCACGTGTGCACGCAAGGACAAATATCCCCCAGTATAGCCTTAAAGGACTGTTGGGGCAAGTGCTGTTAGCGAGAAGCACCTATGAAGGCCCGACACGGCACACGAGGGGGGTGGGTGGCCAGCACCACGTCCGGCCGCCTTTGTCTCCCCAGTGGCGATATTTACACATTGCACCAGATACTCATTTGAGACTGAGTCGACCTAGGGGATGCCCAGGATCGGTTCAGATAATCGTCACTGGTGTTGGCCGTGAGTATGAATCTAACCTGGGGCGCCAGGTTGGTAGTGCATCGCGCTGACTGCTACACCACCGCTGTGTGAGCGAACATACGTGTGCACACACACACACTTGCACACATATACAGGAACACGAACACAAGCAACAAAGAAAGACCCCCCCCCCCTCCTCTCTCCCACCACACCCATACACACGTCATCGGAACGGAATCGGAAGGACACCTAAAATAAAATATCTTCCGACCTGAAGACGTACTCAGCCTCCCATAAGGCCACGCGGGAGGGCGAGTGGCACAGTTGGACACCACCTATCATAGAGCGCGGTCGTGTCGCTACAGTTATCTGCGCTGAGTACCGTGTCTTTAAAAACAGCGGCATTACGCCTCTCTAAATAAAATGTAACGCTAACCGCTTGCGCGTTCCGCGATTCAGCGGTGAACAGGACCTCACCCTGCAACTTGCAGTCGTCTCGGAACGAGAAAGAGTAAACAGACTTTTGGTGCTAATGGTGTTGTTAGCGAGCGCCTATTAAGGCTGGCACGGCCCACTAGGGGATGGGTGGCCAACACCACGCCTGGCCATGTGGTGTTAATCCAGGACCAGTGATGTTCACACACCGTACCAGTTACTCATTTAAGGCTCAGTAAACCTAGAGGAGGACCAGGATCGATTAAAAAAATTCCATTATTGTTTGTGAATCGAACTCGGATCGGAAGGTTCGCAGCGCAGTACGCTGACAACAGCGCCATCGCTCCCCACTCTGTCACACCACAGATATGCGTGCACACACAAACACAGACAAAACGCAAAGAAAACACAAGGCATGAAAAATGATCTCACATGTCAAATTGACATCCTGCATCACGACCATTTGGATAAAGATTTTTTTAAATCATATTTAAAAAAAAAACATGCTCAACTAAAAATAAACCAAAACACTGCCGCACAGATCAGTTGGCGCACGCGCTCAGGTCGTGACGTTCTACCGCGTGTGCTGTTGTTGCGATGCCCTGCGGGGATCGCGGCTCTCTCTGCGTGCAAGGTGCAACCGCGAATGTTGAGCACGCAACACGATGCAGCAGCTTAGCACATTCGACGCGCACGTACACGTGTCGGAGCAGAAACCCACACGTTGTGCAAAGGCAATTACGAAGCCCCTTGCGATAGGCAGCGGTGGTAAAAGGCGCAGCCCTGCAGCGCCTTGCTCGCTCCACCGCTGGTGGGGATGAGTCCTCCGTGAGAGAAGCATCAGAAGATGACCATATTTGGTTGACTCTTCCGCGGTGCAAAGACGTCCTGAAACGAGGGTGGGCTGGGGGGGGACCCACGTTTTACCCCACCACACGTCTTGCAAGGCGGAGGTTACCAACATTTTACCCCACCATACGCACACACACACACACGAGCCGCCATCGATCGCGTGAACCCATTAAAAAAGGAGAATTGTGAATATATGCCAGGGTTCGCGCGCGCGTGCGTGTGTGCATGTGTACGTGCGTACACGACCCATTCAAAAGTAATACGGTCAGACGATCGACCGATCGTGTGTGGCCGGGTATAGAGTGGGTACTCCCCTATTTTTGTGCATATACAAACCAAGATAACGATCTCCCATAGAGCCTGAACTGACTGTTGGGGCAAGTGCTGTTTGCGAGTAATACCTATGGAGGCCGGCACGGCACACGAGGTGGTGGGTGGTCCAGCACCAAGCCTGGCCGCCTTTGTCTCCCCAGTGGCGATGTTTACACAACGCACTAGGTACTCCGTTTGAGGCTGAGTCGGCCTAGGGGAGGCCCAGGACCGGTTCAGATAATCGTTGCTGGTGTTGGCCGTGAGAGGGAATCGAACTCGGGTCGCCGGCATGCATAGCGCATCGCGTGACCCAGCTGTGCCACCGCTCCCCATTTACAGCACGCACACACCGAGCGCAGAGCCATTAAACTATTGCGGATAAATATGATGAAGCCTCGCGAAAATTGGCACGCGAAAAAATCTAAAGTAAAAATTATTTCAAGCGTCGCGCAGCCGCCGTGCAATTTCCTCGAGAGATTTCGGGACCTTGAACGCGAATACTCGCGGCCTCACGAGCCAAATCCTCCCCGCGCGCGTCTCCGAGAGCACGGGTAATTTCCCAATGTTCTGTTCATCCCAGACAAAAACGATGAATTTGATTTTCAGACAAGTTGCCCTCTGACCCTTTCTCCGCGTGGGAAAAAAAAACGGGGGGGGGGGAGGGGTGCGGGGAAGGTAAATAAATGGAAACGGAAGAAAAAAAACCTGAAAGAAAAATAAGAAAAAAATGTTTCCAATGTTTAATAGAAAATTGGAACAATAGACGGAGCGTGGTACGAGCTGCACAGGAGCCAGCCCACTAAGTGAAGCTATTGTGCTAGCTGCCGTTATGTATCATGTACGTATGTTGAACTTCTTTCCCGTAATGTATGCAGCCGCCAACGACGCTCATTGAAGGTGCTGGCTGTTCGCTGAACGGACGCACAAAAGGAGTCAGAATCTAATATGGAAATATCCCCGCCACACGTGAAGGGGTTGCGTTCCTGGGAAACGCTACTTCACCCGAAATTACTTAAAGCGAAATCTAATGTCGCACGGACGTAATGTTAAAATCGGGGGTTGCGTTCCTAACCGACATATTTGCAAAAAAAAAATGCACGTGACTAAAAGTCATGAAGTGTACAATAAACCCCAGCGTCTAAATCGAGATATCCCTAGAAAAACTAACGCAAAGGGTTTGCGTCGCCAATTCCTCCCGCGACGCGACAGCACAACCAGGATGTCACGTCGATTGAAAACTCGAGACTTCAGTTGCTCGTCGAAAGTATGGAACAAGATGCACAATGCGGATTCGAAACGAGAATAGTTTTTTTTTGTTTAAATCACACAGCGCACATCCAGAGAATGAAACCTTTTGATATCAACGTGTTACCTGGTGCACGTTGCTCGAAGAGGCCCAGAGGCTGCCGATGGGCCATCCCTTGCGATTATTGATTAGCCAATTGTGCGATTGTTTAATTATCGCTTTCCCAGAGTTCCCCAGCCGTTCGCGCGTCCCGCTGTGAATTGCCGGTGTGAGAGGTTCGGGGGAGATGTGTCGGTGCCTGATTGGCGTGGCGAGGTGCGGCCCGACTTCAGAATATTTATTTAGGTATGCTGGAGAAATCCGATGAGCTATGACGCTCATCTGATTTCCAGTCGGAGGACGGGTCAGAAAGTTACAACAGACAAATACGAAAAACTATAGCAGTGAAACGTATAGGAAAGGCAAGCAAGTCACTCAAAATAAATAGCGTCTCTAATTTCAAAATGCATAAGTATACCAATTCCTGCAGATTTTTCCACTCTACAGGGAAGCTTGGGCAAGGCAGCAAAACAACAACAACAGTCCCAGACCACACCAAGACAACACACACACAGCAGCCCCCGCAATCAAACTGCGCATTAACAGTGCACTATCGACACGCGCTTAAGGATGAAAGTTACAAGTCAGGGTGAAGAAGGCGATGATTGGGCACGGTGGTTTACCAGGCCAGCGACGCGGGGCCCGTGGTGGACATCGCTGAGCGAGTGATGTCTGAGCCGGTCCTGGACAACCACAGCCGTCGGCGACTCGCAGTGACCAGGGTGGTCAAGTATGGTTGAACCACCACCGGCGGTGCTTTAAAAAAATAAATGGGACCGATAACGATTATATTTGATCATTGTGCGGGATTCCCTCGATGTAGGCGGGTTCGGTTTGTGCGATTTTGCGATGTACAGTATATGCGGTTTACATGTGTACCCGAAATTCGCTACACTATATTATGCGGTTTGAATTGATACGTGGCTAATTGATGTCGGACGTGGGACAACATTATATACCGTGTGTGTGCTGTGTATGTTGTGTGCGTGTATCGTGTGTACTGTGTACTGCGTGTGTGTACTGTGTGTACTACGTGTGTACTGTGTATACTGTGTGCGTGTATCGTGTGTACTGTGTACTGCGTGTGTGTACTGTGTGTACTGCGTGTGTACTGTGTATACTGTGTGCGTGTATCGTGTGTACTGCGTTTGTGTACTGTGTACTGCGGGTGTACTATGTGTACTGTGTGTCGTGTACTGTTTACTGTGTGTACTGTGTGTAGTGTACTGTGTGTGTACTATGTGTACTGTGTATACCGTGTGTAGTGTACTGTGTACTATATGTCCTGTGTGTGTACCGTGTGTGTGTGTGTGTACTGTGTGTGCTGTGTGTGTACTGTGTGTGCTGTGTGTGTACTGTGTGTACTGTGTGTATTATGTATGTGTACTGTATGTGTGTACTGTGTGTACTGTGCGCCCTAATTTTTGGAACGCTTCTACAAGTACCGCATAAAGCGAGGGAAACCTGCACTGCATTTGATAATATTAATGATCCCCTTTGTTTACTGGCGAGCCTCAAGACTCAATTTTTTTGTGGTGCTCCCTCACTATTTGTGGTAGGAAACCCGAGAACCCAACAACAACAACAACAAAAACCCCTCCACTCGTTACGAGGTGGCGACACTCAACTCCCCACACAAGTTGCCTGGATCCGAACCCAGACCCTCAGCGGTTGGTAGCTCAAGTCAGCGCTCTTGACCTCTGAACCCTAACCAGGCCCCACCTCTCGCCCTCGCTTGCTTTGCAAGGGGGAAGTCATTCGCAAAGAAGGAACTTTCCACG